ATGTCGATTGACATTAAATTTGAATATTTAAATATTATAGCTATCAGGGAAGCGAGTAAGAGGAAGGGAGTTCCACTGTCGGGAAGTGAAGAGAAGAAGCTGTTGGAGTAGAAGAGATGGCTACATTCAGCCATTTCGACAGTGAATGGGTGGGACCTAGATGCCAATCTAGTAGCACGCTTAAATTCATGCAGTTCGGGAACTAAGTAAAAGTAGCTCGTCAGAGCAGTTGCCATGAAAATATTTGTAGAAAAGAAGACAAAGGGAAGCCACATCACGTCTGTGAGAAAGTCACTGTAAACGAGATGCCAGATCAATACCTATCACACTGCATATCCATCTCTGGATTTTCTCGAGGACCTCGAGATGAACAGCGGGGGGCACCAGACCATATATGGCAGCAGTATTCAATGCAAGGACGAATGGTAGATTTGTAGAAATGAAGGAAGGACTCAGAAAAACCTTCTGGCGGGACACAGAGAACCAAGTTTCCTTGCGGTAGATGAAGCTATTGATTAATGTAGCAGTTTCATAGCGTTGGATTTCCAGGTCAACACTTTGGCTCCAATATTTAAGGCCTTTAAAGCCTCTTTCATGGCCTCCCTGGTGACAGTCATAAATTCTCTTGACTGCTGTCAACAGGGAGATTGTCCTTGCTGCCACTGCCTCCATAACAGAAGGCATAGACAAAAGTTCCTGATAAGAGATAAAAGCACGGTATTCATCCCTTATGTCAATGTAATATTCTGGGCCTTTTGGTGAAGTGGGGGGCACTATCTGCCACCCATGCCGATGTCGATGGCTGAGTGGACCTTGATTCATTTTGCTAAGGAGACTCGGTTATTGTAGTCCTAGCCTCATCACATCCCAACAACCCCAAAAAGTTAAAAAAAAAAAAAAAAAAAAAAAACGTATTTTGATTGGCCGGCGAGCTGAGAAAAGGAAGGAAAAGAAAATGTCGACCCTATGCGAAATCCTTTTTGATATAAAATGAAGGAAAGAAATTAAATTAACAAGAGAAAATAAGAATGTCTGAAGTCATATGAAAACTTTAATTTCTGTTCATGCGTCCAGCATTCAGATTTTCGCTAGTGTCAAATTACTCGCCAATTATATCATCGGCCTTAACCAAACACTTAGCACTTCAAAGAACTTTTTTCAACAAACCAAGAAAGCTAAGTATTTCAAACTATCTCTAATCGTCTACATTGAATGTATGCAACGGTATAACCATTCTGTAAACAAATTACTATCTTACCTTTATTTTAAACATTTTTTAATATTATTTTGATCATTTAATCTGTTGTATGAACATTTCCTCTTCATGACAATTTGTTAAAACTACGGACATTAAAAATTTCTGATTTATTTTCCTGCAACGAGCTACTGACACAACTTCAAGCAATAAATTCTTGTTTCATTATATAATTCGTTATATTTGTTTTGTTAGAATTACCCGTGTGTTTCGTCATTATCCCCGTCCATTAATCTTCTTGGCATGGGTAAAACAATTGTTCTTTTGAACCCCGAAGCTCTACGCCATTATAACATAAAATAATTTGAGAAAAAAATGTGTAATGTTCGGAAAAAATCAAATGTTTACTTGAATTTTCTTGTTCTATAGTTCAGAGATATAATTTTTTATAAAATTATGAATAAAAAACTTGTTTTTTCGGTGTCGTTTTTTTTTTTTTTTTACAGCGAGTTTCGCACTTTACAAGGCCCATGTGTCACGAGAGAGAAAGAGAGAGAGAGGTCATTTGTGTGTATAGGTGTGGAAGTTAACGGTTAACCCTGTCCTTGAACAGGTTAACATTGTAGTGATCAAAAAAGCATTCAGTTGGGAGTCTGTTCCACAGGACAGTGCTTCGCGGGAAGAAGCTGCTCGAATGGGACTTATTTTCAATGATGGAATGAGGAGGTAATGTAAGTGGCATGGCGTGTCCTTGCCGTGGAGGTTTGACTTGTCGGGACCAGGGAATTTAGTTCGTCCGAACACTTTCTGTGGAAGAAGCGGTAGAGCATCGAGAAGCTTGCCACATCCCGCCTGTGGGAGAGAGGTTGAAGGGTGGAGAATAATTCGTCCCCACAAGAGCTCGGCGACGCTTTTGAACTCTATCAAGGCTGGGAGTAAGGTTTAGGCAGCTTCCGCCAAAATATAACAAAAGTACTCCATTTTTGGCCAATTCTGGTTCTTGTAAAGATAGATGATAGCAAGAGAAGTCAGGTACTTACTGGAGTGGTACAGAGAGCCGACCATCTTACCTTCATCTAAAGCAATGGATTGTATGTAAAAAAATCGGGTGTGACTTTAAGGCCAAACAATCTTTCAAGAAACGGTGCTTCCCCGGAGGACCTCCGTTCATCCTAATTGGTGCTAGTTTCGGTGATGATAGAATGTAACTGGCTTGGTCCTCGAAGCATTGAATGTAACCTGCCAGTTTTTACCCTGTTTGATAGTTTGTGCAAGATTGGAAGAGAGATCAGTTGCCAATCTCTGACTATCAAGAGTTTTAGAGGTACGCCCCTATATAGTGGTACCATCGGCATAGATGTTTTCAAATAATCTGAGTATATTCTCAGGCAGATAATTTATGTAGATAAAAAAAGTGGGTGGTGCCTGCGTTGACATCTAGGGTTCCGGAGGACTGGCCACTGTTAACTACCTTCAGAAACCTACCTGTTATGAAGTATTTTATGATCAAGAAGACGCTTCCGGTGATTCCCTAACTGGAAAGATTTTGTAGTAAGTGTTATAGTGGAACACACCTATTCTATAGTTAATAGACTCTCCCATCTATAATAAGTAGGACTAGTAGCAGTCGAGAGTCGCTCAGTGAGTTGGTCTGAGTTCAGTCTGAAGTCGAACGACCAGCTAACCGGTTGAACTCTCTGCCTTCGGACGGGGAGGAACTCGAAGGAGGTTACGCCGAAGGGCGATTTCTCTTTTGGGGAGGTAAACCGACCCTGAACCCGTTTATACGGGTTCAAAGGGCATATTTTTGGCCGATCCCACGGGCTCGGGGATCCCACGTTAAACCGGCTTTGTGCCACATGATGCCCTCGTGGGGGCGGTTGACTAAATACCGCTCAGTGAGTTGGTCAGTCAGTCGATGTCGGACGACCATTAGTCGGATATTAAAGTATCAGCCACCACAACTAGATTACTGCGTCATTACCTTTTATATTAAGTTCCTAACGTTTTGTACGTCGAACCTATTTTAGGACCGACTTAGTACAAATACAAGCCTCCACTGTGAAACCACTACATAACAGTAAGCCTTTGTGTCACACCGTCGAAAGCCTTGAGGTGTGTTTGTCGTCAAGAGCCTCACTGATTCTGTGAGTGATAGTAGTTAGGACGGCGGCAGTGGATCGGGTCGACCGAAATTCATATTGCTCGTCGGTGAAGGCTTTGCTCTTTTCTAGATCCTCGACGACCTTCTTATTGATTATAGCCTCAAAAAGCTTGCTGATGATGCTGTACTAGGAAGAGTAAGGTCGCACACCTGCGTTCTTGAAAACCAGACATACACTTGACACCTTCAACAGGCTTGGGAAGGATTTCTCCTTCAAGCAGCTGTTGAATAATTTAGCTATGATTGGGGATAATTCCGGGCTGATGTTCTTTAGGACAGGCACTGGAATTTTCTCTGGACCAGTGGCTTCTTTATGGTCAAGACCTTTGATAAGCCTAGAGATTTCTCGTGCTGTAATGGTAATATTACTGAGATTGTTCTCAGTGAGACGTGGGAACTTGGGGTGTGGATGGCTTTTGTCATCTAACGTTGAGTCAGAGACAAAGATGGAGGCGAAGAGGTTCGCCTTATCTATCGAGGAAGATATGACCTCAGGGTCATTTATAAATGTAGGCACAGCTACTTTAACTTTGTTCATGATTTGGGGCAGCGATTGCGGGCAGCTCAGAATGCAGTGAGGGCCGAACTACTTCACTCCTTGCGATAGCTTTTGATGTAGTTCTTTCCGTGAGTTATGTTTCGGGAGTAAACCAGCGTTAACTTTTTGGTTTTTGTTGGAACTTTTTGGTGGATATAAAACTCTCTATTCCAGAATGGATCTATAGTGGGTTATTTGTGGGGTTCGATTTGGGCCTTTTTAGGATTAGCCCACTATAAAGGGATGTATGATTGAATAAATAAAACACGATAAATCACATTTTTGGTGGGTATAAAACTCTCTATTCCAGAATGGATCTATAGTGGGTTATTTGTGGGGTTCGATTTGGGCCTTTTTAGGATTAGCCCACTATAAGGGATGCATGATTGAATAAATAAAACACGATAAATCACATTTTTAAAAAAAATCAAATCAGAGTATAACAATAATAATTTATGTAAACATTTGTTGCGGAATCTGTGCTGAGTAAAATGTATCAGAAGGTGATCTTTTATGAAGGCCTTTGTTTTCCGTTATCCATTATACTATAGTGGGTTATTTGTTGAGTTCGATTTGGGCCATGTTAGGATTAGCCCACTATAAAGGGATGTATGAATGAATAAATAATACACGATAAATCACATTTTTGGTGGGTATAAAACTCTCTATTCCAGAAAGGATTTATAGTGGGTTATTTGTGGGGTTCGATTTGGGCTCTGTTAGGATTAGCCCACTATAAATGGATGTATGAATGAGTAAATAATACATGATAAACTAGATCTTAAAAAACAATCAAGTCTGGAGTATAACAATAATAATCTATATAAACATTAATAAGTGGTTCCATATTATACGAAAACAGTAGTAATGTTCATAGATGCCACAAGCTTGGTATTTAAGTAAGATTAAATAAAAAAATTTTTAAAATTACATTTCAATGAATACAAGAGTGTGTAAAAGTATTAAGTGTTTTTGATTGATGCTAGTGCTAGTTTCATTTGGTAATATGTCCTGTGAATAAAGAGGTTGAATGAATGAGAGAAGTAACAGGTGTGAAAATGACACGAAAGGTGTGAGGAGGGGTAGTGTTTGTTGAAGCCGAGATGACTTTCATGTATCCACTCCCAGTGTCCGTCTCTCTGTCTCTTCTCTGTATGCCTCCTGTTGGAATCTCTCTATTTACCATTCTCCCCACAAGGCAAAATCTGGCACAATGCCAGTTTCTCTCTCATTTTTTTCTTAAACAGGGGTCTATTTTTAATAATTTTTAATAAGTAGTTTCGTATTGTACAAAAACAGTAGCAATGTTCATAGATGGCACAAGGTTAGTATTTAAGTAAGATTAAATAAAATGTCTTTTATATAATATTTCCATGAATACAAGAGTTTGTAAATGTACTAAACTGTTTTGGGGAGATGCTAGTTTCATTATGTCATGTGAATAAGAAAAAGGGGGTAGAATGTATGAAAGAAATAAAGGGCAGGGTGAAAATGACGAGAAAGGTGTGAGGAGTGGTAGTGGTTGCTGAAGCCGAGATGCCACTGATGTATCCGCTTACAGTTGTAAGTGTTCGTCTCTCTCTGTTTTCTCTGTGTGTCTCCTGTTGGAATCCCTTCTTCTTTTAGACAGGGGTCTATTTATATTGTTAACGAAGTTGAAAGAAGCTTCGATTAAGTTGTTGATTATTTCAGGTGCGCTCATTTCTTATTGGTCAACATATATTTATTTAGGATTGTATTTAATCAACTTCGACCGAAAGTTATGCGTGGCGCCTATTGCGCAAACCCGGAATATATCATTATGCTTTAAGCTATGAAAGAGGTAACTTCCTGTTTCTCCTCTTAGCGCCACTACAGATTCAATCAGTGACAAGGGCAGCGGTTTTTGAGGCAGCATACTTGAAGAAGGTTGGACGGGAAGCTTCCATCATGTAGAATCGAAAACTGTCCCAGTCTGCCTTCGCTTAGCGAAAAATCGTTCTATGAAACGGTACATCACGGGATGCCTTAGGTTGTTTTCATATAAAATAGTAAATAAATACTCCATTGTAGTGGATTTACTCTGGCACTTTGGTAATTTTTAAATACATTTTTTTAATAAAAATATTTCTTTTTCAAATTTATTTCTTTACAAAATGATAAGTTATAAATCTTTATAAAATGGTAAATAATTTAATAAAATATCTTAGGAAACGGCTAATATTACCATTATATTTGTATTTGGCTCACATATTTTTACAATCTTGTAGATAAACATTACTGTGGGAGTCTAGGTGTGGAAATTAACGGTTAACCCTTATATATAGTTATAGTAATAACGGTATTAAAGGAGAACTGATCTTTTGAAACGCCATTTTGGGGGGGGGGTTCGGACACAAAAGTTAAACTTAGCCAAAATCGCTATTCCAGTAACAAGGGAGGTAAATCTTTATTAAGCGATGAAAATTGAAGAGTTGTCTTTTCCTGCTTCCAGCCGCTCTTCAGCGTCGGGGGAGAAGATTCAACTAAATATGGCGGCCGTTTGATTACAGCTGAGTTCTCCGGCTTGTATTTTTTCGTCCCCCACCAAACCGAAAACCCGTCTATTTCTATTCACACAATGCACAGACGGGGTATCGGTGTCGGTGCTGTCAAAAACAAAAATTTAGCACAGGTGAGACTTGTTGTTTTCTGTTAAAACTGTTTAACTTCGAGCTTTCTTACCTGTTTTTTTTATTTTCTTTTAATCACTTATCTTTGTTTTGTTAATCAAGAAATCACCTAAAAATTTCATTTTTTTATGCGATGTGGTTATGAAAACTTAATTTTAATAATAGTATCACTATTATTAAAATAAAACTTTAAACTGACTATCATTTAATTTGGAAATAGTACGTATCAATTAAATTTAAAAATATGGTAAAAAACATTTTTTTAAATTATGAGAGATTTTTAACAAAACTTAACAAAAATACTTTTTAAAAAGATAATTTTTCTTTTAAATTCGTATATTTAAAAATAATAATGTTATGTCTATGTAAAATATTTTATTTATATTTTTTAATCATTATTTTCAACATCAATTTTTTTCACCGTTTTTTGTTTTTTGGGGGTTTTTTAGTTTAGAAGTTAAAAGAAAAGACCCTTCTTGTTCTTGTAATAAAAAAGAATATACGAAAAAATAACTCATAAAAATAATTTATTTTTTAATATTTTAGTAAAGATATTTTACTTTTGTAAATTAATAATTGCTATTAAATTACTTATAAACCTCCCCTACATTGTTTTGAACTTTGGAAAGTTAAAAAAAAAAAAAAAGAATACCGTTAATAAATTCCAGGGTGTAAAAGGCAAATGTTTTGTCACTTGATTTCATTGAATTATTAAATTTTAAATATAACATGATAAAAAATCAGTAAAACTTCATCTCTTTTCTTTCTTGTTACTGTGTTACACCATGTCCCTTCTTCAAATGATCATCGCTATCAATTTGGAATTCGGATTAATCCGCCAAGACAGTGCCGGATTTACATATGGGCTGCAACCAAAAGCCCTAAGAAGAGATGTGACTTGACGCCCTCTCTTGCCATCCCCTATAAAATTAACGAAGTATAAAAATATAAGAACAGAGAAGATTTGTTTATTTTCTGATTTAATGGGGCTCCTTTGAAGTCATTGAAAGTGAAACAAGGTCCCTTCTTTTAAGTGTGTCTTTGTTTTCTTTTAAACTCGATAAGGACACTTGAAAGAGCCCCCGTTTATATTGTCATTCATCTCTTTTATACACATAGATTTTTGATGTAGCTCCTTTTTTTTTTTTTTTTTTTTTTCACTATTTACATTGTTTGGACTGTTGTCCTCATCTTTATTGTTACATTCACAACGTTTCGGCTGTTGTACGCTGCATCCTTCTTCAGGTGATATTTGTTTTGTTTTTTGTAATGTAAATAGTTACAATTATATTGTTTCAAACTCTATACATCTAACACAAGCCATAGTTTCTTTTTAAACATTTCCAAAAAGTGAAAAAAAAAAAAAACAAACTTAAAAAAGTTCTGTGTCCATTTCATTTTCTACAAAGTCTCTAAACACGTTGACACTGTCAGACAAAGCATATAAAATATTAGAGACTAAAGGGTGTCTGCATTGCAAAGTAGACAACCAATAGCCATGTGAGTAAACTAGTATTCCACTGTTCCCGCCACTTTTCAAATTGACTAAAACTTGTGTTGAAATGATTGCTTTATGAATTCTTTCAAGTTTCAGGAAATCCATCATGTGACAAGTCTTTCATTTCTTTACAAAAGCTCTTAAAAAGGAAACTTAACATCAGTTGAAATTTCTGGGGAACATAACAAAGAAAGAGAGCTTGGAAAATTTGGCGCACTGGAAGATGGTGCACTGGAAGTTGTTTGTGATTAGACTATAAAATGCCAGGGAAGTCAGTGTTTTAGGATAGCCGTATGCTATATGAATAATTGTAGCTGACAGATGGCAGGCAATCGAAATCTGATAAGTATCAACTTGGTTACCATGGAGAAGGGGTATAATGTTGCAAGACAAGACCCCTCCCCATAATCTTCAGCTAAAAACATTACTAATGATGTATGCAAGGCAATAAACATATATTTCATGAAATATATATATATATATATATATATATATATATATATATATAAGAACAAAAAGGAAACATCTATCTAAAATGTTTCACTTTTATTAAAGCTTTGTCAGAGATTGAGAGAAACAGACAAAAAGATGAAAGTTCTAGTTCTGTCTTGTTTGATTTTCATTGGTCAGTCATGTATCATGTGTATTATAACCATAGATAATTCTATATGTGTGTATGTTTATATAAATTCCAGTTTGTCTTTGCGGGCATCGGATGATAATGTGTATTCGTAATTGTGTATGTCTGGCAGAAGTTCCGATGCTTTCACTTTTGTGTAGTCTGATTCTCGTTGGTCAGTCATGTATGTCCAGCAGACAGCATGTCTGTTGGTTTTATCATGCGTTGATATGGGAATGTTTTTTTTGTATGTAATGTGCGCACACACATTTATAGGCAGCATATCTTCATTCAAACATGTTTCATTTAATAATATAGACATGTCTATCTATTTTTAATAATAATCCTTTCTAGTTCTCTAATAAGTTTCTTGATGTTAAGATGAAATTCATCAATGAAGGTACCTTAGGTTTTACCTACCGAAGTACTTATGATCTCTTCCAAGATCATCCTCAGGCGTGTATTACAAAGACAAATTCATTGTAAATGTAATTGTTGTGATGGTGATCTTTTAAAAACACACAAGAACGTGCTCTGTTAGAATTATTTTAAAATTTTAAATTTATCTGTTGTAGCTATGGAATTTCTTTGCAAAACAAGTGCCCTGATATAAAGGAGCTGACCAGAAATTGTTAGAAATGTAAATTGGTATTAAATGTTTGCCAAATGCACTTCAACGTGTTGTTACTACACTAATAATAAATTTTGTTCAGTGTTGGTTGGTTGCTTTTGATATAGAGGGCCTTGAGAATTTCTGTTTATTATTTTCAATTGGTGTTGTCAACAAGAATTTTCCCTGTATTGTGAAAGTGGACAGGAATGTGTTATTTAGATCTTGTGCAATAGAACTTGTATCCAACAAATCAAGTGTAAGATATCTTGATAATGTTGTGGCTGTCAAACTTACACTACAAATATATATAATGTCGCAGTGATTTAGGAGAGCCTTATGCTATGAGAATAATTGTAGCTGATGGCACCCAAGTGGATATACGACCAGCATTGGCTGGTTTCCTGTGGAGAAAGGGCATGATGTTGCAAGACCCAAAGACCCTAATGATCCTTGGCTAAAGCATCTCTGGTGATGGGTGCCAAACCATTAAATAGATGTATTTCATGAGAAATATATATATGATGTATGTATGTAGTTTAAAAACCACCCTATGATGTGGCATTTAAGCTAGCTCCTGTGGAGGGCTCTTGATTGGGCCTTTATCACAATAGGTAGAGAAGAGTAGATGCGATAGGCAACAATAGATTACTAAAGAACTCAAAATCAATTACTGCATTTAAGTATTGCATTAATATTTAAGCTCACCTTTTAAAAGTTTAAAAGAAGAGGAGGCATTGTGGAGTAATGGATAGCAACTTGGATTAAGGAATTGTAGAGCTGAATTCAAATTCCAGTCAAATCCATTACATTCACTTGTATGCTAATACCTTTGGGAAAGGTATGAATCCTCTTCTTCTCCTCCTAGCTATTGGTAAATAGCAGGACAGACCAGGTTCTCTAAACTTGGATGGCAACTGGTCTACCGCAGAAAGAAATGGCAACCTACTGTGAGAAAAAAAATATCTATCAAAAGATACATGATCGCCTAAGCATGTATCACGCATGACGCATAACTGATTTTAAAAGTTCAATGATAATACTTCTGCCACCACTTAATTTAAAGACAATTTGATATATGTAGATCCTTACTTTCCATATGAACAATTACTTATATTTCATGGGTAACTTTTGCTTGATTGTGCAATTAATTTTGATTATTCCCAAATTTATTTCCAAGTTATAAAAATAGTTATTGTACAAAATATTTAGTCACAAAAAATCATGTAAAAAAATTGCTGAAAGCAATTGCAGTAGTGAAAACTTAGGAATCCAAAATTTAATGATTGCGGTCAGGATGTTTTTAATTTGCTCACAGTCAGCATGATTCCAAAATGGTATATGTTGGAGTACAGGCTCTAGGAGTAAAGCTGAAAAAGTGTGACTCAGTGACACTGACATTTGCATTTATCATATATATATATATATATATATATATATATATATATATATAATTTTGTCTATTGCTATTAACTTTATTGCAAGATGTTCATTTTTAACTATTTCAGGCCCGCTACAAAGATAAAAGGCAATGTCATTGCTGAAGATCAGTTGGCCCAGGTAAGTTTTGTCAATTAAATTTTCATTGATTATATATATATATATATATATATATATATATATATATATATATATATATATATATATTTTTTTTTTTTTTTTTTTTTAGCTATAAAATCAGTGTGCTATGTATTCTCTCTCACCTGACAATAGAGTGGTCATATTTGAAGGGTTAAATTTATGCCCGGGTGCTTCCAGTTTGTCCATCAAACCTTTTTAAAGTGTCTCTGTTTGAATTAATGGGATGAAGAGTTGGATTCTGTATTATTTACACTTGGACGGTTGTCCTCATCTTTGTTGTTGTTATCACGACGTTTCAGCCTCTGTGCCCACCAGCCTTCATCAGGTGTATATCAATCTGGGTAACCTACAGGGAATTCTTGAACCCTTTATTTAATCTACGAGGGTAGACCATTCTCGTTCCACTGCCCATGTCTAGGGATACCTCGTCTAGTTCTTATTTTTACTACTGCCCAGTTATTGCTTACTTATTTCCACTGAGTCCAAGTACACACTGCCCCGTCCAGGGATTGAACTCGCAATTACTGTGTCACCAAATTCACAAACCAATGCTTTAATCCACTAGACCATTATCACTAAATTGTAAGTTCAATCTCTGGAGCGGGGTGTGTAGACTTGGGAACAGGGTGAACAATAGCTGAGCAGTGTTAAATAAGAACAATATATCTCGACCCGAGACATAATCAGCAGAAACAAGAACAAAATGATGTGATTCAAAATTCCCTGAAGGTGACCTAGATCGACAAGCACCTGACAAAGGCACAATGGCTGAAATGTTGTGATGATAATAAGATGAGGAAAATAGTCTTCATGTAAGTAATGTGAATAAGGATGGAAGTAAAAACTTAGTGGCAGATAATCAATATTTGGTTATTAATGTTTTAATGTTGATGCAAATGAATATTAAAATTTACAGTTTTATTTGTTGTCCATCAAATATTATGTAATCATACCGAAGAACAGACAGTAGATATATATTACTAAGTGTAGTAAAAAAAAAAAATATACAACTTCTGTAGTAGCAGTTAAGTCTTTAATTTATTTGCATATAAGACAGAAGGTAGGTCAAATGAAATTGAAAACATATTCATTAAATAAGAGTCGGACCTACCTTATCTCAAAGTTTTTATGGTCACATCATGTTGAAACACAGGATCTTGTACAAGAACCAATGTTCAGCAATGTCAAGCCTGGTCAGTACCTAGATGGGTGACTGCTTGAGAATACCATGTACTGTAACCTTGGATGTGCAGGTTGTCTAATGGATAATGGCTCAGAATTGTTAATTGGAGAGCCGAGTTCCAATTCCCATTGGGTTCGTTATATTCACACAAATTCCCTTGGGAAAGGGGTATGAATCCACCTCTTCTCCTCCTCCTAGCTATGGGTTAGCAAAACTTGTTTGTATCACTAAAATATTATCTCTAAAAAAAAATTCTTACTGTCTTTTGTGATGTCAACGAACACTTGTTGACACTTTTGTGATGTCAATGAATACTCGGTCATTTTCATAATGCTCATTGTAGTAGAGACTTTGTAATCGCAAATACAACTATAGTAACACTATTGAACACTACTTCGAATAACACTCACGCTAATAGTGCTTGCTTCATAATACTCGCTCAAAAAGTAACCACTGAACAGTGATCCGTGTAATGATCAGAATAGGGAAATAGTTTAGTGAATAATATAGAAATAGACAATAGTATAGAAAGAGTGATCTATATAGTAATAGAAGATAGTATAGAAATGGTGATCAATTAGACACCATACTAATTCCCATGTATACATTATTTTGTGATCACATGGTCTACTTATTAGAAATAGAAACACCTGTGTTTGCTCACTTGTGATCAGTGTTCAAATTGCAGTGTCAGCAAGCGACACTTTATTCCTATATCCTAAAAATATTATTCTAGCTTTAAAAAACCCAGAAAAGAGTTGGTAAGCCATAGGAAACAAATGAATCAATCAATTTCCATATCTAAGTCGTCTTACCACTTCAGGCAATGGAGTTTTCATGTCCCCCATCCCCAAAGTGCACTGTACACAATACATAGAAATGAAAGTATGAACTTGCCTTTCTCTCTGAACACTGTAGAACATCATTTGATCATTTAGTTTACCTTCTTACTGCAGCTCTGTGCAATTGTATTGTTACATGTCTGACTCAAGGCATGTGTTAAAGTAAACAGTTCCCAACAATCAGTGTTGTCACTTCAGAAACCACATTTATCCTGATCAGGGCTGTGTGTGTCGTTTACAAGTTCTGCCACTGAGTGTTTACAATGTGTTGATCCTGACAAGAACCTGAACTACATGACCTTCCAGAAATTACTGCCCAAATACACCAATGTCTACCTTTTTTCACTAGTTTAAACAGAACCTGTTCTATTTTTTTAGTTAAAGCATAAATTAAATGTGTCTACCTTTTTATAGCTCCAGTTCAAAATAGACATGCTCCAGTCCAAGCCAGACCAACTGTTTTGATTCTATTACAATTCAAACCTATGTCGATTTTCCTATTCATTCTTTGACTTTTATAAGACTTACATCTGACATTATATATATATATATATATATATATATATACACACACATATATATATATATATATATTGTTGAAAAAGACAAGGTGCTGTGGTTGAGTTTTTTATATAATTTCTCATTTGTTCATACAATTTTCCTCTTTTCTGGACATAAATTATTTAAAAGTTCTCTAAATGTTTTTCAAGCAGATATGAGCGTTCGAGAGAAATCATGGGAAATTTGTAGTTTAAAAACAGTAATTTTACTTTGCTAACCAGGTACTTCCTCTGTAGCTAAATGGTATAACACATCAGGTTATATGACAATTCCGTGTAGGATACAGGTTCAATTCCTGCCAGAGCACACACATTTTCTATGAGATTTCTTGTACATTCAGGCCGGTAAATGTTGTTAATATTGTTTATTATAAACAGAGCTTACTTAAATATTTGTATCTATAAAAATAATGTATAACAGAAAATATATTAAAATAATTGTTGGACTTAGTCCATTTGATCTTATATATATATATATATATATATATATATATATATATAATATGCACTCACACACACGTTTTATTAAAGTATGCATGTTTTTTATTGAAAATATCTGTACAAATTTCTACCATATGTTTTTAGTGCTGTATGTATGTTGCCCAAATTGAGCTATAAAGGGGATATTCAAAAAAAAAATTTATAACAAAAATGAAAAATAGGATCATTTTCTAAAGCTTAAGAATTCATGTAGTATTAAAAAAAAACAGTACTTCTTATATTCACCTGAGTTTGTGAAAAACTCTTTCAATATGGCAGGAAGAAAAGATTTATTAAAAATACCTAAAAAAATGACATGCAGTGACTTTAGTAAGTCCTTTTGTCCATGTAATAGGAAAAGTAACTAAAGAGCTAAAATGTTTCTTGATCACCACAGAAATCTTTTGTGCCATTTTTTTCAGATGGCCAAACAAATGGAAACCTTCAAGGTGAATCTGGAAGAATTTGCGACCAAACACAAAGACCAGATCAAAAAAGATCCAGAGTTCCGTGTCCAATTCCAGGAAATGTGTGCCTCAATAGGCGTAGATCCACTTGCATGTAAGCATATTCCAGAATAGATACAGAAATCTGTCAGTGAAATTTTAACTTTGTCTTTTTTTCTTTTTTAAGAGATTTTGTATTAAGATTGTATTTCATACAGGTACCTTAAAAACCCAGTGTTTCTGTTTGGATTCTTGTTCCTGCCAGAAAATAGACAGTTTTGTAACTTATACGAAAATGAGTCATAAAATTTTACCAAATTGTCGTGCTGTGTATCCATGGCAAAAGAGAGTCTTTTTTGGTGCTCTTGTAATGTGCAGTCTGCCGCTAGTTTAGTATTTGAGATCAGTCATATTGTTGTATGTATCGACCTAAGCATTTGAGTCTCGAGTCTTCCAATGTGTCATTGGTCCAGAGTAAAGAACTCAAACGAGATTGAAGTAGAATAAAGTCATATAAATGATAAGAAGCTTGCCAAAGATTTTTACCAAATTATTATTTCTAGAGAATTTGGGAATAGTTGAAATTAATTGTGAAATCCAGCAAAAGTTACCCATAAAATAAAAATAATTATTTGTACAGAAAGTAAGGACTTATATACATCAAATTGTCTTTAAATTAAGTGGCGGCAGAAGAATTATTGTTGAACTTTTAAAAGATAAGCTTAAATATTAATGCAATACATAAATGCAGCAATCAATTTTGAGTTCTTCTGTAGTTTATTGTTGCCTATTGCCCCTGCTCCTCCCTACCTATTTTGATGAAGGCCTAATCAAGAGCCTTCCGCAGAAGCTAACTTAAATGCCACCCGATTGGGTGGCTTTTAAGCTAGTCAAAATATTTATAGAAAAGGCACAAGGAAGTTATGTCACAGCTGCGTGAAAGTGACAGATGTGGACAGGCCAGGTCAGGACCAATAACAATGCAGTTCCTGTATTTTATCAAGAATCATATATATATATATATATATATATATATATATATATATATATATATATATAGCAGAAACACCAGACCACATATGGCAGCAAATATCAATGCAGGGACGAACTTATAAATGTATTAGATAAATAGTGAGAAAATTGTCTAACCCAACACAGTGAACCAACTTTCCTAGCAGCAGACCTAGCAATTGATTCAATATAATCTTTCCAGTTCATGTCAGCTGAAAATGCTAGCCTAAGAAGGTGCAGGGAGTCACTCTCCTGGAGGTTAGCAACAGCTGTGCTGGAAGTTAAAGAGCCTAACCAAAATGTTGAATTTCAACCATTTTTTTTTTTTTTTTTTTTTTTTTAGGTGTCCATGAAAAGGATCTTAGGCATTTCAGTAAATTCAGACGCTTTTTACGGATTCAAAAAAATTTTTAATATCTCTTGATAAATAAGTGTAAATATTTAATGAATTTTTCCTTTGTACTAAATAGTATATATCATCCAATTTGGTGCTTGTTTTTGTAAATAGCAGAGACTTTTTTAACAAATTCAAATCTTTTATGCCATGTTTGGGTCACTTGACAAAAATAAATTTCTCAAATTTGTTTTAAAAAAATAAAAATTTCTTAAAGAAAATTTTTTTTTTTTTTTTCCAAAACAATTCTTGTATTTTCATCTCCCATCTTTTATTTTTACTGATTTTCTCTTTCAGCCAGCAAAGGTTTCTGGTCTGAAATGCTGGGTGTTGGTGATTTCTACTATGAGCTAGCAGTTAAGATTGTAGAGGTGTGCATGGCCACCAGCCATCGGAATGGAGGTATGTATGTTTGTGTGTTTCTGTCTCTCTCTCTCTCTCTGTATGTACTGAGGGCTCCCACATGCATGCACTCACACAAATATATACACATACACACATCACACACTCCAAAAAACTAAAAGATAACATACACATAACACACACATCCCCTTCTCAGCAACCAATAAAGCTGTCAGAAGATAAATCTGAGACTCATGAATCTCCCAACCTCTCCTTAAAAAAACTTGAAAAAGGCTTTTGACCAATACAAGGCCTGAGCAAAAATTAACAATAAAAAAACAAATGAAAACTACAGGCAAAGTTCACTTTCTTCAGAGACGATCATTCACCCTTGTAGTTCACTGCTACTACCAAGTGTACAACAATCACGTTGTCAAGATAAACACTCAGTTGTGGAACAAGCTGAGAAAAGACCTCCCCACCCCCACCTTGAGAAAGAGAGCTATTTATGGTGCCATGAAGAATCTCATTGTGCTCAAATGGGATAGTCCATTGCTTGGGCCGTGATTGACTGCTGGTACATGAGTGGAGGTATTTCTGTATAAATACCAGCTTGATTCCAGTCAGTTTGCGGGGTTTGTATTGAGTTACAACCTGCTTTATTTTTGTCTGCCAGCTGGATGCTAGCTGGGACCCTTATGCTGGTAAGTGTTGTTATTCTATTGTTATTCTACTCCAAGCAGGAATTTTTCTCCTGATGATGGCTATGCTGGCCAAAATAAGTCAAGGAACCTAATTCTAAAAAATGAAACAAAAATATTAATATACAACCCAGTGTGTCTGAAATTTTAATTTTTAACAGTTTTTTTTTAATGTTCAAGACATGCACATATATAACAAGTTTCATTAAAAAGAACCAACATGGTATGTCTGTTTATTTTTTATTATAATTTTACAATTTTTGGATAAGGTACTGAGTATTGTGTTCAAAGTTGTGGATAAATTGTCTGAAGTTCATATTTTGTTATTTTTATTCAAGTGCTTTTGACTATCATAGTCATCATCAAGAACTGAGGTGGTGTCTGTATGGTAGTTAGTATTTCTTTATCTACTTACTAGTATTCCTCTGTCACTTGTCAAAACTCAGGGTACTATGTGCACACATCAACCAGTACATCATAAACGACCAAATTACAACTATTAACATAAGAAAAATACTAGTAGATAATACCAAAATACTTTACAACACCCAATGCAAAGAAAGACTCAAACCCCACCCAGAAGCCATTGTTATACAAAATAAACAGCCCACATTAAATGAAATATCATTCACTACAAGAGAAGATATCTTAAAGTGCATATGATATAATTAATGTGTGCACATATTTTAGCAGTTTTATAATAAAAATAATAATAAAAATTTAAAGTAATAAATAAATCACATTCTTTGCATCCGGCCTCATTCCCAATAACCATTACACATGACATCATGCTAGGCTATTTAAAAACATCCAGCTTCCCAAAGAATACCAGGATTGGAGACAAGGAATACTAACTACCACACAGACATCACATTTGTTCTTGATAATGACTGTGAAAGTCGAAAGTAGTTGAACAAAATATGAACTTTGTACAGTATATCCATAACTTTGAGGACAATGCTCAATACCTTATCTGAAAATTGATAAAATACAATAAAAAAATTAAACAGACGGACCATGTCAATTCTTCAATCAAAGTTGTTTCTCTCTCTCTCTTATATATATATATATATATATATATATATAGTTGGATGATGTGAGTTTGTAGCCCTGGGTTTCATCGCTTTTGAGATCGTCAGACAAACTGACGATCGCAAAAAGCATGAAACCCAGGGTCACAAACTCACATCAATCCAACCAAATATATTAGCTCTATCTCTGATATTGAGCACTTTCTAATAAGTACCGTGCATATAATATATAAATGATAATATATATAATATATTACACGTATATATATATATATATATATATATATATATATATATATATATTTATATGCACACACTTTTCACATATATATGATTATTATATTTTTTCAGCACATTTGAAATTTTGATTAAAAATTTTTTCATGTCAACAGTGGGCCAAAGATTAGTATGTGAAATTTAGTGCCTTTTTCCAGTAAAAAACACAGATTTGGAAATTCTTGCAAAAATCAAATAATTGTTGGATTTTAATGAAACTTTCAGAACTTATTCACAAATGAATAAAATTATTTTTCTTTTAGAAAATCTTTGTAAAAATTTTTTTTTTTTTTTTTTTTTTTTTTCATTTGTTACCACCCACTTACTTAATTTTATGAAATTCCAAGGAATTTAATTTTCACCCTCTGCATATTTACACTAGTTAAAAGCAAAACTTGGAGAATTGAAATCATCAATTTGTTTTTTGTCAAACAGCAACATCATGTACTGAAAATCTGGTCCAAATCTAAAAATAAAAAAGGCAATAAAATTATAACATTATTTAATTAGGAAAACTTTTAATTGCTTTTATAAATAAGATATATTAAAGACACTATTGTCTTGAAAAATTTCATTCTCTTTAAATTTAAATTAGAAAAATTTAGTAAGTTCTAAATCTTTTAAAATTATGTATTAATTTCAGCCTTTTAGATTATATTGATTATAGTGAAACTATATTTTCTAATAAATGAAATGGTAAAACTTAATACCTATCATGAAACACCATGATTTTAAAAAGAATTTTTTTTTTTTTTTAAATAAACATGCCCATTATGGGTGACCATGCTTGACATTATCAGATAATAAGAGCGATGACTATAGTAAATTTAAAGTCAACATTCCTGAAATTAGATTACAGATAATTTTTAACAATTTCTATTTAATGAATATCTGAGGAGGGAAGAAATTAATTCATGCCTTTCCCAAGGGCATTAGTGCAAAATAAACATAACAGGCGAGATCAGAATTTGAACCCTGCATTAAAATTTTACTTACCATATGGTTAACTATTACACTATCTTTGCATTAGACAATCCTATATGAGATTTCCTTACATCAATGATTTTTAACCAAAAGACAGGAAGATGTGGAGAACCATGATCACTCCTGTCCTGAAGGAACACAACACATAAAATAATAACTTTTTATTCAATTAAACATATTCATGCTTATGGTGAAGTCATACTGAAACCACCAGTTCATTTCTGATCACTGAGGTTAAGCAGCCTTGAACTGAACATGTTAACTCAATGGGTAACCACTTACGAAAACCAGGTTCTCCTAAACAGCCATCTTCTATTGTAAAAAAAAAAAAAAAATTTTAAATTCCTTTTTTTTTTTTTTTTTCTTTTAAACAATTAAGATTTCTTTTCATTATTCTTATTTTTGTTGCATATCGAAGGTCGTTGATCTCCTGAGAAACTATATCATTCATCTCATTTTTATTTAGGCTTGATCCGTCTTGATGAACTAAAATCCCGGTTGGAAGTTTCTCGGCACAAGAACACTCAGGAGATTAGCATGTATGTATGTCTTCTCTTGTAATTCAGGAATGGTCAGGTTTGTGCTAACCCATTCATTATCAGAGATTTTGCTATTCTGACTGACTGGCTCATCTGCGTTGTTATGTTTCAGCTAGTATACCATCCAGAATTCTTCTGGCATCTACCACTGTACTCTATAACTGAGCCTTTTATTCTATCCTGGGGTTTTTTTGAAATTGTTCTCTCCTCACTTTCCATTGTTTAATGGGTCTTTCTTATCAGTCTTATTCACCTCCATGAGGTTTGTCTGCTTCTACTGAACCAGAGTATGTGACATTTTAACACTACAAGACCCGGGGATTGAACACAAAACTTCTAGGGAACCAGCTACATTTTAACTGATGCTTTAATCTACTTGACTGTAGCTATCCCTGTGGATTGAATATGGTTCCAAATTCTGTGAACGTTACTGAATATGAAGGCAGACACCTGAAGAAAGCCAGAGGATACAAGGGCTGAAACGTTGTGAGGATAACAACCAAGATGAGCACACTAATCAAAATAGCAAATCATATAATAATAATGATTAAGATAATTGTGCTTGCCCCTCCCTTCACTTAGTTTTTAGTTTGCACAACCATTACGCCCTGCCAGACCTCATAAATAATGGACTATTCTTTGATTATGTGAAAAGACATAACAAAGACGCTACTTGGTTTCAGTGAGAAAATGAAAGAAGTCAAGATAGAAGTGTTTAACGTCTGTTTCAGTGAAATGGAAAAGTTGTCAATTTCAAATCTTTTCAGTTGTACCCCCTTACTTCTTAAAATGACAACCAGCATTCATATTTATGGTTGTTATTGCAATATTTTGTTAAAGTTGTTAAGCTTAAGCATTTAATGATGTGATAGGTAAATTTCTACAGATATTTTATTGTCGTAGAACTCGTCTTGAGCTTACTCAATCATTAACTTAAGAAAAAAATTTAAATGCAATGTCAATTGTCATCTTTTGTCTCCTTGAATCCTGTTCTTTTATTGTCCTCTCTGTTTCATTCATCCTTAGTAAACTCTTGCATCCTAGAGGCTTTATTGCTTTGCTTGGGGTGAAATGAGAACTTATGACAACGGTGATAAATGTACCGTTTTTCAAATGCAGAGTATCAAACGACAGAAACCAAGTAAGGTAATCACTTATTTACCATGAATAAAATAACTTCATCTACTGAATTATTTTTAAATTATTCTTAAGGGAAATGTTCATATGACGGGAATTTGGCTATAAAGAAAGAAACAGATAAGTGAAGATAGAAGTGTTTCATGGCTGTTTCAATGAAATGGAAAAAAAGTTGTCAATTTCAAATCTTTTCATTTGTACCCACTTCTTAAAATAACAACCAGCATTCATATTTATGATTTTTATTGCAATATTTTGTTGTTAATCTCAAATATTTAACGATGCAATAGGGGAATTTCTACAGATATTTTATTGTCGTAGAACTTGCCACAGGCTTATTCAATCATTAACTAAAGAATTAAGATTAGGAAAACCATGAAATTTTTACGTGTTTTTCTAGTTATCAATTTTTTTATTAATGTTTCTATATAATTTAAGATGCTGTTATCACACTTTCTTTTCTTTTTTTTGGTTCTTTCTTCTTGCAGAGATGACTTACTGCGAGCAATCCGAAAACTAAAGACTTTGGGTAATGGTTTCACAATTCATCCCATTGGTAAAACATTTCTCATCCAGTCAGTCCCTGGTGAATTGACAATGGATCACACCACAGTCCTCCAGCAGGCGCAGGTAACTGGTTCCTTCATTGATTTGGTTCCTGTTAAATATCTACTTTTTTTGCAGCAAGCCAGCTCACTTAACATGATTGGCACCATTAACATCCCCCTTTTTGAAATTTGCACCTTGACTTCATTTTGTCATCCACACACTGTTATAGCTAATACCTATGTTTTAACAATGCTGTTTAGCTGTAAATTGACTCACAATGTGCTTTTCTTTGATTACTGCTCACTGCAACTCATTCTGACACTTAGCTATGAAAGAGACTGCTGAAAAGGTCTTGGCCCAACCAAGAAGCCCTTAGAAAAAGAAAAAAAATATAATTGTTTATTTTCTCAGATTTTAGAGAGTTTGTTGTGCTGGGAACTGTTCGTTGTCTCTTTGTATAGCTCAAAGCTTCACTGATCATCCTCCTATCCACCATACCATGTCAGAAAGAACAATGTAACCTCTAATTTCAAAGATTCCTATTTGATAGAAAATGTTTAACAAAAATTTACTGTTTTTAATTTCTGTGTTAATTTCTGGGATAAGTTATTATTTACGTGTGGACTATTGTTATCATCTTTGTTATCACAGTTTCGACAGCTGTCACCTCCGCACATCTGTCTATCCAAGTATCCTTCATGAAATTATTCTGTATAAATATGAAATTTAAACTTTTTCATTGCAACTAAACCTGACTTCAATAGGATCAAACAGTGGGAAATCAAATTGGAATGGCAAATTCACACACAAATTTTTAATCTATTTATTGACTAATAGTTGTAAAGGAAAACAGCCTGAAATAGTTATTTGTCACAAGAAATGGTTGGCCTCTGACTGTGGCCTTGCAAAACTGGTTGCCCTCTGATTGCATTCTGAAGCTGATAGCCCACTAATTGCAGCTTCATGAAGGTGGTTGCTAACTGACTGCTGCCTCGCAAAACTCCTTGCCTTCTGATTGTGGCATCCTGAAACTGATGGCCCACTAATTGCAGCTTCACAAAATCAGTTGTGCCCTCTTGGAACTGGTTGCCCAATGAATGTTGCCCCTTGGAACTGGTTGCCCAATGAATGTTGCCCCTTGGAACTGGTTGCCCAATGAATGTTGCCCCTTGGAACTGGTTGCCCAATGAATGTTGCCCCTTGGAACTGGTTGCCCAATGAGTGTGGCCCCTTGGAACTGGTTGCCCAATGAGTGTGGCCCCTTGGAACTGGTTGCCCAATGAGTGTGGCCCCTTGGAACTGGTTGCCCAATGAGTGTGGCCCCTTGGAACTGGTTGCCCAATGAGTGTTGCCCCTTGGAACTGGTTGCCCAATGAATGTTGCCCCTTGGAACTGGTTGTCCTATGAATGTGGCCTCTTGGAACTGGTTGCCTTATGAATGTGGCCTCTTGGAACTGGTTGCCCAATGAATGTTGCCCCTTGGAACTGGTTGCCCTATAAATGTGGCCTCTTGGAACTGGTTGCCCAATGAATGTTGCCCCTTGGAGCTAGTTGTCCTATGAATGTGGCATCTTGGAACTGGTTGCTCTATGAATGTGGCCTCTTTGAACTGGCTGGCCACTGAATGCGGCCTCATAAAAATGATTGCTCTCCGGAGCTGCAAAAGTTTTGGATTCTTTAACATTTCTACTCTCTTCATAAAACCAACTAAATAAAGATAGAATGTGTTTTAATTATTTACAAGGTTTAGTCTGGTACAAGGCTATGAAAATGAAATCCGTTTTATAGCAAGTCCTTTTATCAACATTCTATTACAGAACATAACAAACTTGCTTGTTGTCAGTTTCCTCATAAGGAAACTTTGATTCACTGCCTAATTATTAAACCAGATGATATCAGCCATGCTTCTATTATTTAGGAGACAAATTATGATCTTTTGTAATAAATTTTAAAAATATTGATCATATGTTGATTTGGTGTCACTTTTATCAAAATATGGTTAATCATTCTTTTTCTCCTTGTTTACCATTTTAGAAATCTTACTATGTGACTGTATCAGGACTTGTGGATACGCTCAAATGGGAGAAGGAAAGAGCTATCAAGGCATTGGTAAGTTGGCAAATACTTCACTAGCAGCTCTCTGGTAATTAGTGCACATATTTTTTTTTTTTTTTAAATGGGGTACATTTAAAATGATTGATTTTGTCGCATTTAAAATTTCAAATAACTATTTTGCTTCATTTTCTTTCTTTTTTTTTTTTTTTTTTTTTAATACTAGTTTTATTCTCTGTTATTGTTGCTGCTTTTTTAATCCCAATTTTTTGTATTGATACACTTCATTTTTGACTGAAATTCTGGAATGAATTGTTATCATTATTTATGCTATTTACATCCAGCCTCATCTTTGTTATTATCACAAAGTTTTGGCCATTGTGTCTGCGATATGCACCTGATGAAGGACTGAGGGCAAAATGGTTGAAACATCATAACAACAACAAAGAATTTACTGACAATAACTGAGCAATACTAAAATAAGAAACTTGACAAGCTATTCCTAGACATGGGCAATGGAACAAGAATAGTCTACCACCGTAGATTAAATAAAGGTATCTGTCTATATCTCTGAGATGTGGTATTATGTACACTATTTTATTATTCGGACTATTGTCCTCATCTTTGTCGCCATATTTATTACAACGTTTCGACCGTTGTACACTCTGGCTTTCTTCAGGTGGTCCTCAAGGACACATGACACAGTGGATAAAGGCGTTAGTTAGATCCAGTGACAGGACCCAAAGAATGTGAGTTCAATACCCAGTTAAGGCAGTAGAGAACTTGGAGAGGGGAGCTAACAGGAGATAACTGATAATTGACATCTATTAAACATGGCAGGTGGAACTAGAACAGTCTACCCCAGTGAGCGAAATATAGGGTTATGTTCGACATTCCAACCACCTGAAGAAGGCCAGAGCGTACAACAGCTGAAACGTTGTAATAAATATGGCGACAAAGATAAAGGCAATAGTCCAAATAATGTAAATAGTGTATTAAATAAAGGGATTACTTCAAAATTCCCTGTAGATTACCCAGATTTATATACACTCTGATGAAGGCCAGACGGTACAACCAGTTGAAACATGATGACAAGAAGAAATATAAGGGCAATAGTCTGCTTGGAAAGAGTGTAAATAAAGCTTTTCATTGTTACAATTTTCTTAGTTTTTCTACTTTTTCTGATTGCAAGACCTAATCAATACTCTTTGATTATAGTGTAACACGATTTTTGTCCTTGGGTAGCAAAAAATGGCAAATATTTCCTTGAAACTTTGTTTTTGTGACCAGGATAATGACGTTTCTGAAATGTACCAATTCTCATTGGGAAAACTGGCAAATATGAACATTTCTGTCCTCCCAAACTAGGAAGAAAATGACATATGATTCAAAAGTAGCATTTATTTATTCTAGGACCATGCAAGAGAAACCACAAAAAATTAGAAGTGCGTATTATTTTAGAGAATTTCATTTATACTGTAAATTACTTTTATGAATCGTTCCCACCTCTGATCAATATAGTCTCCCATCATGTTTTCATTATACAATCCTTGGTTGCCAGAATGTTTGAGAAATTCTTGAAACTTTTAAAGACTCCTTGAAACTTCTAGAAAATTCTACTTCAGTAACTCAGTCTGGAATTTAATGAAAAATAGGTTAACTTCAAAACTTTAATTGTCCAGGTCGCAAAAGCAGAGATTGAAGGGAATAATAGTCATTTCCTTTGCTTCCTAGGCAGAAGCAATTAGGAAATAACACTTCATGATCAAAGACAAAAAATGTCAAAAAATTTTTACACAGTGTTACTATTATTATAATACATTGTTTTAATGATGGAAATGGAGTGACACAATCCTCCCTTGCCAGTTTTTATAGACATCAAAATCATTTAAATGGACTAGCAGGGAAGACATTCTCCAAGCACCCGATTGCCCCCCCCCCCCAGCTCCCCCAAAGACACTGCATTGCAAATCTTTAAATACTAATAGCTCATGTTCAGGTAAACTCTGCTTTTTAGTTCCACCAATCCAGACCTTTACAAGTAGAGCACGCTATGTTGCTTCCACAGAGTTGAATCACTCTCATTTCCTCCATATTCCAATTGTAAGGAGGAAGTTCCATCGAAATTGCTTTTTATCCTAGGAACTGCATCTTTAAGGAATAGACTCAATTCAGAACCCCCAACATTTTGAAAAGATTTGATTTTTTTGTGTGTGTGTGTGTAAATGTGCTGATTTTTGTGAAAAGGAATGTTCATACATGCCATTATCAAGTATAGTAAATTTATAGCTAAAATTCAATAAAATTGCTGAAAAATATTTTCATAATTTTTTTAAGTTTACTGGGTAAAAAAGTGTTTAAAAGTGTTCATGTTATATACACATAATGGTTAGTTATGTCCCTGTAGAAATTATTCCCAAACATAATTCTATCAAGATAGTTGTCAGCACCTTATAAAAACACCCATCTCTATGTTAAAAATTCTTTTCTGCTATGTTTTAAAGTACAAGTAATGTTTGTTTTAAATCAGGTAATTTTCCTCTAATAAAATTTAAGAAATGTATATTTTATTTTTGAAAGAGTTTTTAATAAAGAGAATAATGTTGTGTTGACAGATTTGCTAATATAGCTCATTTTTAGCAACTTTATTGATTTCAAACAAATAATCCTTCCAGTCAATTTAAATTCGATTTGAAATACAGCTTATGCTTATTGGAAATATTAAATTTAATCTATTAGCTTGAAAATAAAACTGAACTAAAATCCTCAAGAAAGATGCATTTTTAAACCTTACATATCGCTTTTTTTTGGAGGTACCTAAAAAATATGATTTTAGAAAGAGTGACCGAGTTTACTTTTCAAATGATGATATTTTTCTTTAAAATTGTACACAAAATTAAATTAAGAGCAGTAATTAATTTTATGATATTAATTTTGTCTTATAAAATTTAGTAGGAAAAAAAAAAAAAAAGATAGATTAATCGTTTTTATGTAGGAGTTCCTTCTGAAATAGAATTGTTTACAATGGTGTTCCAGGGGTGAAAAAGTTGGGAAACACTGTGTTAGAGGCACACACCAGATCAACTCAAAGGAGTTACCTCCCTTGAAGATTTTTTTTTTTTTTTTTTGTCACTAACTTCTAAAGGTTTTCATCACATAAAAGGGATTGAACAGCTTTAATAACATTTCATAAACGTAACCATCAGAAGTTGTTATCATTTCAAAGAATTGTGAAGATTCGTTTTATAATATTGGGTGTACATTTTAGAAAATCTAACCCCAAAAATATTTTGAAAATCTCACCCCTGAAAACTTTTGTCTCACATTCAAAGATCTGGAATTTCAAATTTAATTTTACTTGGTTCATTATATACCTAACTTCTATGGTCAACTTGTAAAATCTGCACGTGTTCAATGTAATTGTTCTTTGCCAGTTAATAATGGAAAAGGAAATAAAGCAGCCTTTGATGAATCATGAAATGTAATCCCTGAAACAAAACTGTAACTCTCCATTTTACTCTTTCAAAAATTTAATAACTGCTTTGAAATTTCAAATTCCACACCTATGTTTGGCTGGTTTCAAATAACTTCCAAGGATTCTTTTGTGGGTTAACAGAATTAAATTCGGACATTATACAATCCCTGTAGACCTTCAAAAAACTTGTGAAGACATTAAATTTCGACATTCTATAATTCCTGTAGACCTCCCACCAACCTCTGATGACATAGCTTTGTGGTGTGCAGATTTCTCCCCTCTCATACTTCCTAGCTTCCCCCAAAATATACTTGTTGAACTTTAGTTAAGTTACAAGATATCTCTTATGTATTACGATCAAGGTAGATTACTTCCCCTAGATTACTCTGTGTTGGAGGTAAAACAATTAATAAACTCGGTTCAAAATTTAAATGAAAAAAAATAAATAAAACACTTTCTCTTTTATTTTTTTTTATTTTTTTTTTTTTTTATCCTTTTTTATCCTTTTTTACCTTATTCATTACAAAAAGCAAGTGAGATGTCCACGGTTGTTGACAACTGATCAATTGCTTCAAGAAAATGTCTTTTGAAACACTGCCAAAGAATTTTGAAAATAATAGTACACTTCTACAAACAATTCCTTCCTCAGTTGGGAAAAGATTCCAAAAGCCTAATACTATCCACTTAATCATAATTCAATAAAACCAACATAAATTCTTCTTTGGTTTTTAGGTTTGTTTTTTTTTGTTTATTTTTGGCAGCGGGTGGGCAGCACTCTGAGTAAACACTACAATAGATATTTAAGATTTTTTGCAACACTGGGAAAACAGAATTCAGTATTAATTTTCTTGCTTCTTTGAAGTGTTCCATTGTTGAACAATATCAACCAATCAGTTTTGTTGTCTCATCTCATGCAACTTGTCTGTCCATATCTCAGCTTATTCTTTCAAGTACAGAAAACACACAACAGAAGTTGCTTTTATAGAAATTCAATAAAATATCTACAAAATGAGTTCTTGTAGGTTTCATCTGTATAAATTGGATAAAAACACAACCATCAAAAAAAATAAACCCAAAAGTAGATCTCTTAATCGAAATAGAAAAAACTGAAAAGAAACAAGGGTTTTGTACATTCCCAGCCAAGGTAAAAACTTTAAGGCCTTACTAACAATAAAAAAAAAAAAATTATATTTCTAAAGTCAAAGCAGAGTAAATATAATTGTCAGTGTTTCAATTTCTAACCATTATCCATGTCTCGGAATCATGTTGACAACATGCAATAAGCTAAGATAATATTCTGTGTGTTAATAACAATTAGATGACATATGTGATTTTCTCATAGCATTAAATTATTAAAGAATTTATATTACTTTGTGTTTACTAATGATACTTTATTGTCTGTTTTGTGACAGGAGTATATGTTGAAAGAAGGGCTGGCCTGGGTGGATGATCAAGCTGAAGGAGAGAGGCAGTACTGGTTCCCTACTCTCTTCCCAGATGCGCAGACACCTTAAGAGAATGACAGCAACAGAAGAGGGGCGGGGTAGCAGCTGTTTTTTCTCTAACATTCTTCATCTTTTTTTTTTTTTTTCTTTCTTTCTTTCCTTTTCTTCCTCTCCCATCCCCCAAATTTGGTCAATATTTTAATGTGACCATGTTGTAAGGAGGTTGAAAAAACAAATATCAATCAACAAGACTCTTCACTTCATGGTTAAATCAGAAAATTGATCCATTACCTTTTTTTTTTCTTTTTTTTTTTTTTTAAATATATTGATTTAATTATTCTCCTGCCCCCAACTCTATTTTTTTTTTTTTTTTTATTAATTTATTTTGGTGTTTCCCTTTTCTTTCTTTAAAGAAGAAAAAAAAATGCTTTCCTCCGATCAACTTTGGAAAGTGATTTTCACATGTCAAACACTGTAATTATACAAATAAAGTTTTGTATATAAAAATCTATGATGTTGAGATTAAACTGACAGCTTTGCAGAAATTTTCCAGAAAAAAAATTAAAAAAAAAAAAACAACTTAATTCATTCATGAAGGCAGATATGACACAATGAACAAGGGGCTCCACAAAGGGTTTGCGTGTCTGTGTGAATAGTGCAGAAAATAGCCCTTTCTCTCCGGCTTTTGCTACATGTCTCCATACAGTGAGGAGGATCTGCTTGGGTGATGGAACCATCTGGGGCAATCATCAGTCTTTTAATTTATACTCTATTCTGTCTGAAAACATGACAAGACTGACAGAATCTGAAGGATTTGGAGAAGCCAATAAAAAGTTGTCTAAAATAAAACTATGCTGCACATAAAGTTCCCAATTAAGTTATATTAATGTCAAGAAAGAAAATTTATAAGTAACTTTCAATTTAATTCCTGTAGACTTATAAATATGTAAGATTGATTTTTCTTGCCAGAATCTATTTTACATATTTATAAGTCTACCATTCGTTCTTGCTTTGAATATTGCTTCCACATCTGGTCTGGTGCTTCTGCTCTCTATATATATTTAGAGATTCTTGATAAAATTCAAAGTAGAATCTGAAATGTTATTGATCCTGACCTGACTGCCATAACATAGCTTTCCTTTACCTTTTCTATAAATACTTTCATGGTAATTGCTCTGATGAATTTTCCTCTATGTTACCTAGAATTTAAGCGCAGTACTAGATTGGCAGCAAGGTCAGGAGGGGCAGGATAAGGAGACTGCATGCCATCTGCTTGACTAAGAATTCATCACATGCTGGCTATCCTTGTAAAGGAATCTTGGTGCAAGAGACACATTTGATTCTTCTCTCCGTGCTGTTTTGATCTTGTATGCAAAGCTTAAACAAAGACAATCTGTCTGTCAGAATGCTATGCTCAGTACTGAACTGTAGTTTGCCATTCTGTCCCAGCCTCTGCATTCTGTAACACATTGATCAGGATTTTGAGCCCTGCATTCTTGAACAATTTTAACTCTTCTGCCTGAGCTCCTGGGTTAAAATTCACAAATTGTTATGCAATGTTTCACAATAGATATAAAAATAGTTACAAAAAATATAAGCATTATACTTAGCAGGAAGAGAGTATGATTGCATGCTTTCACTTTATCAGCAGAATTCTTTCTTTTTAGCCCCAGCCTACCCAAAATAAGAAAACCAATAGCAAAACCCAATGCAAGTGTTTACCCACTGTTCAACCGGTGCCTGGACATTGTCATTTTTCTCTACCGCCGGTAAAGAGGTGGTCAGGGCTCAAATGGTTAAACACTTGCCTTTCTCTCCTTGCGCAACAAAGAAAAGTTAATTTTGGATAGGATAGCCACTGGCTAATCAAAATGGATTCATGATGAGAATCCAATGCAAAGAAAATTATAGATCACTCAGTTTACAACATCTCAGGCAGAGAATTTCTCAATGTTTAGGAAGATTCAAAGAAACTCTTTGTTCCAAATTGCTGGAAGCAGAACAAAAGTGCATTGCTACAGGGAGCAACTGGCTTATTTACATGACATAAATAGCAAAGACCCTTTTTTTTTCTATGCATGGAAGACAAATTTGATTCATTCTAACACCTGTTCGGTTATATATTCCAATCCAGAACATTCTCACTCCTTTTACTGGAATCCCTCCCTGTTTGACCATGTCTTGCTAAAATTCAAAGTAGAATCTGAAATGTTATTGATCCTGACCTGACTGCCATAACATAGCTTTCTTTTACCTTTTCTATAAATACTTTCATGGTAATTGCTCTGATGAACTTTCCTCTATGTTACCTAGAATTTAAGCGCACTACTAGATTGACGGCAAGGTCAGAAGGGGCAGGATAAGGAGACACTTAACACACTTGGTGAATTGCAGGTTGGTGATGCTATTTAACACACAACTGGGGAGGTTTGAATTCAAAATTGTCCTTCTCTAAGACTGGTTGCCAACCAAGGTTGTAGGGCCCAGTCAATCTTGATATTTAACCATAGCTAGGAGGAACAGTTGAATTTTTTGCAAGGGGAATTTGCATATGACTGTAACAAACTTGAATTTGATCTCTGCTTTCCAGTTCCTCAATCCAAGCTACTATTCTATGAGTAATGCTTACATTAATTCCTGACCATTAACAATCCCATTCTACCTGATTTCCAATGCAGTTCTATAGTAAAATCATTATCAATGTATTTGCATTATACATATAATAACATGATTCTATAAGTAATAGCTGACATGAAGCAGAGAGACTATATTGAATCCTTTGCTAGGTCATCTGCTAATAAAATTGGTTCACTGTGTTGAGCGAGACAATTTTTCTCTCCAGAATCTGACATATCTATAAGCCTACCATTCATCCATGCTTAAGGTAATGCTGCCATATATGACCTGATGCCCCTGCTATTTACCTAACCACAGACAATTCCTTCTTAATTTTCAGTGTGTTCCTACAGTAAAATCATTAGCAATATATTTACAGCACACAAATCATCTTATTCTATGAGTAATGCTTGCATTAATTCCTGGCCATTAACAATCACATTCGACTTGATTTCAAGTGCAATTCTATAGTAAAATCATTATCAATGTATTTGCATTATAGTATATATAATTACATGATTCTATCAGTATTGTAGTTAAAGGGAGATGACTGAGACATGCGGAATAGGCATGACACATGGAACTAGAACAATCTACCCTGGTGGACGAAATGAAGTGTTCAGTTCGAAATTCCAGTCACCTGAGAAAAGCTGGAGCATACAACTGCCGAAACATTGTGAATATGGCAACAAAGATGAGGACAAGTCCAAACAACATAAATAGTGTAAATAATTACATTATCTCATTTCAGAAATATAGACAGTTTGTGTGTAACTGCTTTCAGGTGAAAAACCATTCCTTCATTTTTGACCAAGTGGAAAGCCTATATTGAATCCATTGCTTGTCAGCTGCAAAGAAAGATGCTTTACTGTGTTGTGCAAGACAATTTTTCTCTCCAGAGTCTATCTTACATATCTAATAGTCTACCATTCATCCATGCTTAGAATATTGCTGCTACATGTGGTCTGGCGCCTCTGCTATTTACCTTGAGCTGCTTGATTAAATTGAAAGAAGAATCAGCAATATTATTGGTCCTGATCTGTCCGCTCAGCCTCAGTCACTTTCCCACTGCCGTAAGGTTGCCTCTCTGTGTCTTTTCTATAAATAAGTTCATGGTAAATTTTCAGAGTAACTATTACCCACAGTTTTTCCATAGCGGATCAGTTCGTTTGGTTTGGTGTGATTTGTTTTGTTTTATGGCATATCAACCTCAATAGGTTATTTAATGCCGACAATTTTATTTTTATTGCTGGTAATATTCTTTTCCTTCAAAAATCTCTTTCTGGTAATTTTTTTTTTCAAAAACAGTATAGCTGGTAATATTTTTATTTGTTTTTTTCAAAAATGTGTAGTTGGTAATATTTTTTTTAAAGTATTGCTGGTAAAAAATTTTTACAAAGTATTTCTGGTATTAAAACCTATTTTTACACTTTCACCCATAGCTGGGACCCTAAGAGATGTTACCACCACAGGGCAGGGTGGACCTGGGAACAGCAGCAAATAAGAGGTGGTTCCACTCTCCTTAAAACCTCCTGATCAGAGGCCTTGCTGTCGGGTGTAGTTTATCATCTTACCCAGCACACAGATGTAGTTTATCGTCATACCCAGGACAAGATTAGTTTGTATTAATTTTTGTTTTGATCAGCAAAAGACTTGTTTTCATCCGCTACTATCAAGGTCATGTTTGCAACATTTTGACAGTTGAACTGTGTTATTTATTAATTTTATTTGTTTTAAGTTTCAAATTTTGACTGTGTGAATTTTTTTCTGTTAATTTTATTTTCTCCTCCCTTTTATCGTTTTAACTGAAGTTTTATTTTTCTGTGAGTGTAACTCATAGTTACTTAAAAACTACTTTACATTTTATTTTATTGTTCCTTTTTGTTCTTTGTTTAATCATCTTATTTCGTTTGTTATTTTAGTTGTAAAGTTTTGCTCTTCTTTATTTCAAATTCGAGCGAACGTTTTTTGTTCATTTTTGCAAAGTTCTTATACCGTTTACTGTTTCTTTTTTCTTTCAGCATTCTATTGTATTTTTTGAGCCCTTTTTAAACATAATCGTTTTATTTGTTTACGTCTTTTTTCTGTTTTTTTTTAACACCTAGCTCTCGTTTTTGTTTCTTTTAATTTCGTTTTGACAAAGGTCAAGTTTTTATATATAACGTTCTATATCTTACTTTTGAACCTTTTATAGATGTGCTCGTTTTTATTTAAACTTGTTTATGTCGTTTTCTGTTTTTGCTAAAAGATTTTCCTTGATAGACTTAACACCTAGCTTTTGTTTTTGTTTCTTTTTATTTTGTTTCGAGAAAGGCTGTAGAGGATCTGGGGGAGAAGATGAAAAGAAAACAAACCAGACTGATATATATGTCAACAAATATATGTATTAAACAACGCAATTTAACAATGGACATAGATGTTAACATTTTTTGTGTGTGTGTGTGTGAACATTG